AAATTGGACTACATCAAAATTTAAAACTGTGCATTGAGGGACACAATCAACAGAGTGAAAAGGCAACCTACAGAATGGGGGAAAATATTTGCAAATCATATATCTGATAAGGGGTTAATATCTAGAATATATGAAGAACTCCTACAGCTTAACAACAACAACAACAACAACAAACAACCAATTAAAAAATTAGCAAAGGACTTGAAGAATAGACATTTCTCCCAAGAAGATATAAAATGGCCAACAAGCAAATGAAAAGATGCTCAACATCACTAATCATCAGGAAATGCAAGTCAAAACCACAATGAAATATCACCACACACCCATTAGGATGGCTATTATCAAAAAAACAGAAAATAACAATGGTTAGCGAGGATGTGGAAAAATTGGAACCTTTGTGCACTGTCAGTGGGAATGTAAAATGGTACAGCTACTGTGGAAAATAGTATGGCAGTTCCTCAAAAAATTAAACATAGAAGTAATGTATGATCCAGTAATTCCACTTCTGGGTATATACCCAAAAGACTTCAAAGCAGAGTCTTGAAGAGATATTTGTACACGCATGTTCATAGCAACATTATTCATAATAGCAAAAAGTTGGAAGCAACCCAAGAGTCTATCAACAGGTGAATAGTTAAACAAATTATGGTATATACATAAATAAAATATTATTCAGCCTTAATCTTGAGGACATTATGCTAAGTGAAATAAGCCAGTCACAAAAAGACAAAAACTGTATGATTCTATTTATATGAGGTTCCTAGAGTAATCAAATTCATAGAGACAAAGTAGAATGGTTGTTGCCAGGGGCTGGAAAGAGGGGGGAACGGGGAGTTGTTTAATGGGTACAGAGTTTCAGTTTTATGAGGTGAAAAGAGTTCTGGAGATTGGCTGCACAACAATATGAATGTACTTAATACTACTGAACTGTACACTTGAAAATGGTTAAGATGGTAAATTTTATGTTATGTGTATTTTACCAAAATTTTTTTAAAAATCACAATCCTCCAAAAAGAAAAGATGGGGTGCTGCTTGGGGACTACAAGTTTGCTAGAACCTAAGAGGAGATGGGAACCATCTGGGAAACCAGAAGGAAGAATGCGCATAAGTAGACTCCCAGTAAACAGAAGGGGCTTCCGGGCTGGTCTGGTGGCTTGTGGTACAGGTTGAGTGAGGGCGAAGTCCAGAAGAGTAGAGACATCTCACACCCAGCATGTATGCGCCCATAATGCTGATTTCCTAGTCAATTGCTGCCTCCTTCTGTTCATTTTGGGAGGGAACTGGAGACTAGATTCTGTGAACCCAGGAGGGAGGAATTCTCTAGAATAGTGATTCTCAACTGAGATGGTACTGTTCTCTAGAGGGTATTTTGGAAATGTGTGGGGTTGTTTGTGTGCAATGCTGCAGGCAGTTAGTTAACCAAATGCTGGCATCTTGCAATGTACAGAATAAGTCAGCAAAACAAAAAATTGTCCTACATCCCACATGACTTTCAAATGGCCCAAGGGACATTTACGGACACAGCAGTTGGCAGAACCTTCACCTGGGTTCCTTGACCTGTTAATAAGTGCTATTGTATTAGGAAAAGCTAGTGGAAGCCCTTGAAACTTTCTATGACTCCCAGCCAAGATTGTAAATAAAAAGCAATATTGCATCCTAAAGGGAATGGTAGAGATTTGTGTCACTTAGAAAGATTTAAAGGATGCAGGGATGGTGGTCCTGTCACATCCCCATTTAATTCACTAATTTGGCCTTTGCGAAAAATGAAAAATCATTGTGCATGAGAGTGGACTACTGCAAACTTAGCCAAGTAGTAGCCCCAAATGCAGCAGCTATGCCAAATGCAATATCTTTATTGGAGCATTCACATATGGCAACAGACAATATACTTTCCTGGTCTGGCCTAGGGCCATATTAACTTATCCACTTTCTGTCATAATATGGTCTGAAGGTACCTAGATGATCTGGACATTCTTCAGAACATTACATTGGTCCACTACATCAATGACATCATGTTAATCAAATCAAATGAGCAAGAAATGGCAAGTACTTGGAGGCCTTGGGGAATGGGAGATAAACCCTATGAAGATTCAGGGGCCTGCCATATAAGTGACCTTTTTAGGACTCCAGAGTCTTGGGCCTTTGGAAGGCCATCCCTTCCAAAGTAGAGGTCATGATATTAAACCTTGTACTGCCCCACCATTAAGAAAGAAACACAACGCCTTAGAGGTCCCTCATGTTTTGGAGGAGCATATTCTGCGCTTGATTTATCTACCATGTGACGTGGAACTCTTCTAGCTTTGAGTGGAGCCCAGAGGAGTAAAGCAGTCTGCAGCAAGTCCAGGTGGCAGTGCAAGCAGTTCTGCAACTTGGTCCATATTTTGGCACACCTGATGGTAATTAGAAGTATCTGTGGTGGGAAAAGATGCCTTTCGGAGTTTATGGCAAGCTCTAGTAGAGAATCACAATGTTGACACCTAGGGTTCTGGAGAAAGGCCATTCCATCTGCAGCAGAGAATTATATACAATTTGAAAAGAAGCTCTTGGCATGCTGCTAGAGTAGACATACTGGTAGAGGAGTCAGGGCTGCAGGGAGCAGGCAGTATACATGCAGAACCCAAGGGTTCACAGCCTGCAAAAGCCTTGCTGACCAGGGGCTCAGACTCCTCAATCTATGTCTTCCCTTCCATCAACAGAAGCGCCAGCTGAGGCTGGGAGCAATCCACAATGGGTAACAAAGGAGAGAGATGATGACTTTCAGATGGGCCCCCAGAACAGCTGTGTAGTGGGACTGTAATTTGTCCCACTAACTTTCCTTTTATAAGCTTCTTCAGGAAAAGAGATCAACCAGAGTTCTGAAAAGGCTGTTTAAGGATGGGGTGAAATTGTTATATAGCAAGTGGGTCCAAGCAGAGCAAGGGGTGAACTGTGTGCATGCTGTCGGTGCCACCAAGGTGCCCCCTTGAGGAGCTCTCACTCGCCCAGCTGCTGGGATTGTGTCCCCCGAGGGCTCACAGCTGAGCCCTTTCACAGGAATTGTCCTCAGCAGGAGCAGCTGCCTCATCCAAGTTCACATCCCCTCTCTGGGAACAGCTCACATCCAAGACTAGATGATGTGCCAGTGGCCTCAGTTCAGCACCACTCTGAAGGGTCATCCCAGCCCGAGAAACCCTGTGGGATTGGCTGAGCTCTCTGTTGCTACCTCATTGTAGCTCACCTTCTCCCTCCGCCCAGCCCCGCTTCCTTCCCTTACAGGTGCTGTTCCTGTGCTCCCTCAGTGAGCCACCTGCACACGGATCTCCACCTCAGTTCGTTTCCCAGAGAACCCCAATGATGACAATGCACATTTAGAGATAAGAAGGTAACCACCAGAAAAAACAGTTTACAAAGTGAAAAGTGGTTTTCTCTAGGGAGAGGAATTGGGCTGAGGCAACGTGGGACAGAGGACTGGTGTTATATACCCTTCCCTGCACTTCACTGTTTTTAACATATGCATATATTACTTATAATTAAATTTTTTCTCATTTAAAAATTTAAGGAATTGTTAAGAATTTGATACTGTGGCTCCCCTGTCTTATTTATTTTGTGTGTGTGTGTGAGGAAGATCAGCCCTGAGCTAACATCTGCCAATCCTCCTCTTTTTGCTGAGGAAGACTGGCTCTGGGCTAACGTCTGTGCCCATCTTCCTCCACTTTATATGAGAGGCCGCCGCAGCCTGGTTTGACAAGCGGTGCATTGGTGCGCGCCGGGGATCCGAACACCGAGCCACTGCAACAGAGCTCGTGCACTTAACCGCTACACCACCGGGCCAGCCCCCGGTTGCTCCCCTGTTTTAGACCCTTCAGTTGTTTCCCATTGCCCTTAGAAGAATCCTTCAGAATCTTTAACGAGGCTTGTAAATCCCTTGCCATCTGGCCTCTGCTGAGTCTCTGACCCCATTTCTTGCCACTCCTTCTATCTCCCTCAGCTACCTGTCTTTCTGGACTTCCAGATTCTTGAATGAGCCTCTCATCCTCATCTCCCGGCTTCAGATATACTACTCCCTCTGTCTGGAATGTTTACTTGTCCTCCCCTCCACCTGGTTCACTCCTATTCATCCATCACATTTCAGCTTAGACGTCACCTTCTCAGGGAGAAATTCTCTACCCCTGGACTATATTAGGCCCCCCTTTTATCACTCCCACAGCACCTGTATTTCCTCTTTTTCAGCATCAATCTCCTGAAAAAATCTATGTCCGCATTTCCTTTCATCCTTCATGAGGACTATCTTGTTACTGCTCTATTACTAGCACCCAGCTGCAGCAGAGCAGACACTAAATGAATTTTGCCAAAATATTTTCTAGGATCCCAGAGATCTGCAATCTGTGACAAGTTAGATAACCTGTTTGAGCCTCAGTTTGCTAAAGTATAAAATGGGGATAAAAATAATACCTACCTTAAAGGGTGGTTTTGAGGATTAAATGAGAGATGTTGGTAAAGCCCTTGGCACAGTGCCTGCTGCAGAATGAGCATTTAATTAAAGCATGCTCAAAAATAAAGAAAGGCTGGATCGGTTTACTCTCATGTCAGCAGATTTTGAGACTGTCACTCTTTATCCTTTCCAACATGGAATGTCACATTTTTAAATATTTTTGTAAATATTATAGGCCAAAAAAAATGGCATCCCATGGTTTTAAGGCAACCTGTGTTTTCAAGCCAACTGCTTTTGTTAACAAAATGGCCGCATCCTGCTGCTCCATGCCGCGCACACCATAACGAGAGCAGACATTCATCGCTCCTCTCTTCCTGTCTCAGCTTGTTTGGGGGTGAGGGGTGTGTGAGAGGGGAGCCCCCAGTGTGGAGGTGCATTGTGTAAGGCGTGGCAGCTACATTCCAGGTATTTTTCACTGCACTTTCAGGTTTTGCCAGTCGTCCTGCTCGGCTTGTGGGCAGATAGGGGGCCCAACTCTCCCCAGCCAACCCAGGTGGCTGCCTCTGCCTCGAACGTCTCCAAGTGACGTAGAACCCTGTAGGCCCAGAGGCCCCTCCACGCTTCCTGTGTGGGGTTCAGAAACCTGCCTCCCCTCCCAGCCTTAGGTGCCTGCTTCGGAAAATGGTGAGTCTCCCTCTCGAGTCCTAGCATTGGGACCAATGGTCCAGAGGAAACGTCTCCAGCAGGCGCTTTGTAAAAGTCCTCTGGTTTCTTTTCCAGAAGTAATAAGCCAAGTGGCCTCCGCCATCTTGGGTAGAGTAAGTGTCCAGAGAGAGAAGGATGCAGCCGGGAAATCTCTGGAGAGTTCTGGGACTCTGCCTCTTATCAGGTGAGTAGGACGGAATGGAAAAGGGTGGTGTTTCTCCAGACCACGGGAAGGCTCACAGCCTAACCTGGTGCTGCCCAGTGGTACGAAGGAGCCTCATTTACTAGAAGATGTAAGGAACTGTTTGTGCAATGTTGGCAGAAGGAACTAAGGCTGCAGCCTAATGAAAAAGATGTGCCCCAGGCCCCCGGAGACCTTCCAGGGAACAAAGAAAAGTGTCTGGGATGATCATATCTACTGAAAGCAAAGAGGTCTCTCTGCCTCCAAGAGCAAGCTCGTTCTGTCAGTGAACTACCCAGCCCTTAAGAACTAGCACAAAAGAGATTAGAAGAACTAACCTGCACTCCTTGCGAGGAGACTAGATTGCTGAACCCAAACTCTGTGCAGGGTATAGCAAGCACGGTATCTGAGACAACAAAACACATCATAATTTTCAGTCCTTTTTAATTGACCAAGAACTTTCAATTAGTTTAATCCTTTTTGAAGAAAGGTGGAATATAAATTGGTAAATAACCAAGAGTGTTTCCATATATCATATCAGATAAATAAGATTTTTTTTAGAAGGTTGCCGTTTATTGAGCTAGATACTGTGTTGCCATTTATTGAGCTAGATACTGTGTAAAAAAATTTCTTTACATATGTTAACTAATTTAATCCTTACCTCCGCCTTGGAAGATAAACATTATATCCTCTATTTTACTCATGAAGAGACTGATACTCAAAGAAGTTAAATAACTTGTTTAAAACCACACAGTAAGTGCTAAAGCTGATCTGGGAAATTAGGACTATCTGTCTACGGGGCCTGTGCTATTAATGACTGCAGTGCATGAGGCAAAATGGCTCACAATGGTTTTATTTCAGAGACCTAGAAAATACTACCACAGTTGGGGCCCCCATCTCAGAGCCATAGCCATGATGTCTCCACTTCCTGCTCCATCTTGAGTTTCTCAAGCTTAAATATGCACACAAATCACCCGGGAACTTGTTCAACTGAAGCTTCTGCTTTAGTAGGTCTGGAGTGGGAACTGCGATTCTGCATTTCTAAATTCTCAGGCTTATTAGGCTGCTCCTGGTCCAAGGAACACATTTTGAGTATCAAGGAGCAGGGTGTGACTCCTGCAGAGTGATCAGGCATTTTCTTAAGCTTTCTTTAGGCTTTGCCTAAAAAGAAAGTGAGAGAGAGATACTATCAAAGACCCAAGCACCCCTAGAGATTTGGCATCAGGAGAATGTGTCCAATCTGCTCTAGGTATGGGACGGGGCGGAGGGGTCTGTCTCACCCAGTGAAGAGGCTGTTGGTAAAAGAGAGGTCCAGGTTTACAGAACAGTCTCAGGCAACGTCAAGGAAACTGGTCGTTGTAATGAAACCAGGTTATTGCTGAGTTAGGAGACTCTAGAGGGCCCAGTGGAAATGTGATCAGGATCTTAAAGGCACAGGCTCTAGTTGATGAGTATTTGGAGTTTCAAATATTTCCATCCCTGTCTCAAGCAGAAAACAGATGGAAAAACTGAACCATCAGACAAACAATATCCAGAGATAGAACAAAAATCTCATCATTTGTACCTAACCAAGAGTTTGTTTTTCTTCCCGTCAGAGACCGATTTTCAAAATGGAGGCTTGACTGCAAAATTCGTTTGCTATTTCTCCAGTCACACAAAAAGCAGCCCCAACTTGTTCTAACGTCTATTTGTCAAATATTGTGTGTTCGTGTTTAATGCTAGATGCTTCCTTTCTCTGTTTCATCCAAAATTGATCAGGAACCCCTGGTCAATACCCAATAGTATGTGTCATTTATCTGGGGTATGGGAATGACTGTTATCCGGTGGGAGTTGGGAAGAACTTGAAAATGTCCAAAAGTGCTCAGAGTAGACCACAGCACATTTTCTCCTTGGAATTTCAGGCACTCACGACATTTACTCTTTTTTTCTTATTATTTATTTTCTAGTTGGCGCTTGGGGAGAAGACGGTAAGATATGTTTCTTTCCTTGTTAGGAAATCAGCCCAGCATTCTTTGTATTTATGAGCTTTCTCTAGAACTCCCACAGAAGCCAATAGAAGAGGTTTCTGCCATCTTCTACTTTGCATTTTCCTCATAAGTCTAGGGATGTTCTAGCCAAGAAGAAGGAAGCAACAGAGATCATAGGAAATAATGAGTCTTAACTATTCAAAAGAAAAAATTTGAGTCTATTAAATTAAGTTGAAAGTGCCAACACTTTTCATATGTTTGCATTTCATATTCGATGTGACATTTCGTAGAGGGTATGTGGCTTGACTGCATGCCAGGAGATGCAGTGAGTAAGGCCCGGGGGCAGCATTAGAGTGCACATTCAGAATCACATGTCCAAATACTCTGAATGTGTGTGTCCGTGTGTGTTCATAGGTGAACACGCATATGATGTGCCTGGCCTGGACTTACTTTCGCAGCCATAGCAGTAGAGTCAAGAGTATCCCGACATTGGAAGCCTTTCTCTTCAATCAGCTCCTCCAAACTGAGGAAACCAATTTTGTGTTTAAAGCAGCCGCTGTGCCAGCCTACATTCCATTGCACTGCCTAATTTGTAGCATCCTTAGGATCTTTTTTTTTTTAACCATGCAGCATGCTTTAATGATAATGACAGATGGGACATGTCGAAAGCACTGATATGCTTCAGGATAATCCATCCCTTCTGCATGCTATTGCCATTTAGAGTTGATTTTTGTTTATCTTTGATTTATTCCCAATATAGATTTTTTTCCCAGCTTTAGCAAGATATAATTGACATATAACATGGTGTAAGGTTAAGGTGTACAATGTAGTGATTTGAGATATATATATATATAGTGACATGATTACTTAAGATCCATTTTTGCAAATAGCCATCAGTTGTTTAATGAAGGATATAGGGCCCAAAACAGCTTTTCATATACAGTCATGGGGAATTTGAAGATCTGTTGTTTTCTAAAGGTTGAGGGAAGAGTCCTAACTTATGGGAGCAGGGTCTGATCTTAGTAGCTGAGTATTAGCTTAGTGTTACTAATGGTTTCTTATTATTTCCTTTTCAGGGAATGAAGAAACTGGTAAGAGGATTTTAGCTCTATACAACTTCTTTTCAATATGAGCAAAATGGTCATAGAGGACAATCACAGTAATAAACACTGAGAATCAGAATTATTAGAGGGAAAATACAATTATCTTTCAATAGGATCTGTATGAGATGTGCCTATGTTTGTTGCTAACTGTCATGTCTGGTTATAGCTAAGTATGATACGTATCCCTGAGCATACATTCAGGGAAGAAGACACATGTGGGTGTAGGGTGGAGCCACCACGAGTTTTTGTGTAAATTATGAGTTCGTTGAAAGCAGAGATAGCGTCTTATTTACCTGGCCCAGTGCCTGGCACATAGTAGGTTCTCAATGAATATTTTTTGAATGAATAAATGATAGTACACATGAAACCATCACTAATTCCTTCCCCTCAAGAAGGTGATGGTTTTGTGTGAGAGACAAATAATGATAATATAGTGTGTTGCATACTATGATATGGGTAGATACACAGTAAAATAAAATACGAAGAGAGGAGTGGTCAACTCTACAGAGGGTAGTTGGGAAAGACTCCCCAAAGGAGGTGATTCTTGAGCTGAGTTTTAAAGGAAAAGCTTGTATTTTAGGGAAGAAGAGTGTTTTAGGCAGAGGAGATAAGGCTGTGTAGTGTGAGGTTAAGAGTCTAACTCTGAAGCTAGACTGCCATATTTGAATCCTGGCTCAACTTCTTACTTGCTGAGTGTCTTTGAATAATTTTCTTAACTTCTCTGTGCTATAGCATCATCTTGTGTAAAATGGAAATAATAATAATACCTAGCTTAGAGGGTTGTTATGAGGATTGAATGAGTAATTCACTTAGAACATTACACTGATGTATAGAAGGCAGTAGATAGGAAGCATGCAGACTAGATAATAATCATTAGAGTTCATTGAGCATGTATGTTCCAGGTATCGCCCTAAATATTCTACCTGAATTTCATTATCTACTTCTCCTAACCTGCTTATTCTACAGATAAGGAAACCAAGGCTTAGAAAATAAATAAATATTGAATCACAGAGATAAATATAAATGCAGGTTTAGCTGATACTGGAGCTCATTTTCTTAACCATTATGAAACACTGTCTCTGGATGTGTATAAAACCTTTGTGAGCACACATCCTATTTCTCAGCATAGACATCTAGGCCCTTGTATGAGCATGTGTAAGTCTAAGCTCTGCTACTGAATTTGTGCCAGTAAATGTTGTGAGCAATTTTCTTTACATTTTTTTTTGCAACAAACACACCAAACAGAGTGAAGTGTCTGTTTACTTTTTAATTATTTTATTTATGATTTCTAGTTATTTAACGTTTCTAAGAAATATCAGCACTGAAAAGTTATTTCTAAGTCAAAGTAATATTGACTATCTGTTGTCATTATACTCAACTCCCAATTATTAGCAGATGGATAAACCTGAAGAATGACTGGTTTACATTTCATATGATCTCGGCCAGAGAGCTGCCTGAGCAACTGGGTCAGAACTCAGTTCTGTTCTCCAATGTAGCAGGACCCCAAGAAGGAAAAGAAGAAAGTAACTAACATTTTTCTTGAGCATCTGCTATGGGCCATCCATTTTCACCTTCATAATCCCTTTAATTCTCACACATACCCTGTGAGGTGGGTGTTTTATCTCCATTTCCCAGATGAAGAAACTGAGGCTCAGAGAGGTTAAATGACTTGCTCTTGGTCACACAGCATAAGGCAGATCTCGCATTCAAACACAGGGCTTCTGACTCAGTCCAGTGCTCTGTCCCCAATAGCATACTGTGTAGCAAAATGCCCCCAACAGAGAGAGGGCTGTCTCTGAGCATTGCCACCTCTCCTCTCTTCCAGCTCTCATATCCAGGCTTGAGCATAGCCTAGTGTTGCCCAGTGTCCCAGCCACAAGTCTTCCAGGAAACAAGGATGCACCCTAGCCCCACCTCCCAGGGCAAAATTGCCTGCTGTAGGGAATGTGGCTGTAATCCCAAAATATATTAGCAGATTTCAGTTGTCCACATCAATAGTTCCTCCCTCTAAAAAAAATAATGGAGAGTTGATTATACTTAGAGATAATTTAAAATGAAGCCACTTTTTATTAAAAGAACCATTCCCTTAAAATGGCATAGTGCTGCACATAATTTAAGGGCAATAACAGAAAAGTGGTATGGAATAAGAAGAAAGATATTTGATCTCTATTATGAGGGACTCTGTTAGTTTTAAGAAAGAACTTCTGAATACTGAAAAATAAGTAACGCCAAGAATCAATGATTTTAAGATGTGAAGGTATTTATCTCTGAGAAGACCCTTTGGTATCTATCTGGAATATGGTTCTTGCAAGAGGATAAGCTTGAAGACTTCCAGAATTTTTCAGTTTTAGGATTTGAAGACTTTCTGAGTTTCAGTGGATCTAGATCTAGGAACACAGCTGGTATATTCTCAGTCTGATGTATCTGAGTTTTATCTATGAGCATATCTCATGGGCTAAGTACATACCTCACCTTTAAGGCATGGGGATCCCTACTTAAAGGATGGGCCCTCTTTGGGAATTCTTGGGGATAGTGTCTAGTCTCACCTGAGAAACTTAACCCACAATTTAAACTTAAACCAAGGTTATTTTCTCACCACTCTTTCCTTTTTTCATTTTCAGATGAAGTCTCACAAACTGCCACAAACAAAAAGAAACGTAAGTTTATCAGTCTTTTATGTATGTCCTATCTGAGGGTGCAGGTCAGTAGATAGAGGAGAGGGAATTGATTGAGAGAGATTAACCCCAAGAAATGAGCTCCTCCCAACATTACATTTCCGACTCCCATTTTAGAAACATTCCAAATAGGGATTTGTCCAGGTTTTTCTTTACTTCCATCCTCCCCTTCCCAAGTCCCCATGTCCATGCCTAAACTCTGAAGTCACCTGCGAAAGGTCCTCTAGCTCCCCTTCTACGTATGCCATCTGTCGTACCACCTAGCCAGCAGATTTCCCCTTTGACAAGAAAATCTAAGATCTGGATGACAGATGACTTTCTGCCTTTGGTTGGTTCTCTTGTTACTAATTTGCCCTTTCTGAAATCTAATTGGTTTGTCCCTCCAATTTCCCTTCTCTTCTCTCCCATTCCCCAGCATATGAAGTCTCCATCTATGGAACCACTGTAACGCTGACATGCCCTGAGGATGTTGAAGGAGACATATTATGGGAAAAAAAAGATGGACAACTACCTAGTGCGACAAACAACCCACAAATACTGGAGAAATTTTCGGAAGTGGAAGGAAGTGGTTATTATATCTGCTATGCAAAGGGCTCAGAGAAGAACCATTATCTCTACCTGAAAGCCAGAGGTAATATAGGTCTCCAGAGCAGCCACTGCTAGACTATTTAAGGGGGACCATCTCAATTATTCCCTCTAACAGAACTCAGAGTCCCCTGGAATCTTTGTGCTTCTCCTACACTCAATCCTGGGACTCTCTGGGGCCACACAGCATCAGTGTTTTCTGAAATATAGATTAAACACCAATATGGGGCTGTCCGGCTAAGCTCAGTCAGAGCTAGATCTAAAACAACAACTTTCCAAGAGATAGGATTGGGTCGTTTGCATTATATCATGTCCGGAAGTATGGCACACCAATATGAGTTTATCTGATACTTTATTGAGAGAGAAATTCTTCACAAGGATTTGCAAAGCAGACTCAAAGCCACTATAATAAAATGTCATAAACTAAAGCATAATAATAAACAACAACGATAGCTAACACTTATTGAGTGCTTGTTAAGTTTTAAGCGCTATACCAAACCCTCGGCAGAGATTGTTTTTCATGTAATCCTCTCAACAGCCGTACTAAGTACTATTTTAGTCCCCTTTTATAGATAAGGAAACAGAGGCTTTGTGAGCTGAAAACACATTTCACAATGCTCACAGCTAGTGAGTAATGGAGCTGGGACTTGAACCCAGCACTTTCTGACTCCAGAGCCTCTGCCCATAACCATCACGCTTTGCTTGTTGTTATAAACATATTGAAAGGGAGGGCTCTGGCCATGGCAAGAGGGTGAGTATTGAAGGGAGAATGGCCTTCATTTGCCCCTTCCTCATCTCCAGTGTTCTGGTGTCTGCCTTTCTCGGCGACTTCTCTTCTTCTCACACACCCCCGTCCCCCGCAGTGTGTGAGAACTGCATGGAGGTGGATCTGATGGTAGTGGCCACGATCATCATAGTCGACGTCTGCGTCACTCTGGGCTTACTGCTGCTGGTGTATTACTGGAGCAAGAATAAAAAGACCAAGGCGAAGCCTGTGACGAGAGGAGCGGGAGCTGGCGGCAGGCCCAGGGGTAAGACCACGCATGGGGTTGGGTTGGAGGAGATTCCTGCCAAGGGGCATGTCCAGCCTGGGCCAGGATGGGTGGCAAGGCCACAGTGAGGTCAAGAAAGCTTCGATAGGACATTCACTGTGTTACCAAGAGCTCGACAGAGAGTTTCACGTCACAGATGGCTCCTCTTCTTCCCACCCTACAAAAGTGCAAAGAAATTTACTAACAAGATGGGCCTCCTCAAATGCCTGTCAGTGTTCTGGAATAATCAGATTCCACCCCCAATCTGTGGGGGGAGAGACTTTGGGAGGTTAGTTCCTGCTTTTTCTTTTCCCTTTCCCCATGAGAAAGGAAACAATGGAAGGATCTTGAGCTGAGGAAAACAAAATGATAAGAATAATGTAGGGGTCATTAGAAATGGGATGAAAGAAAGAAAAGAGAAAGGGTGGCTGAGATGGAAAAGGGAGGAAGTGGAGGAGAGAACGGAGGGGTTTGCCATCCTTGGTGTGGGTCTCATTGTCACAAGGTTGGTGTTCCCTCATGAAAACGAATTCTTTCCCCCTTCCTCCTCTGCAGGACAAAACAAGGAGAGGCCACCGCCTGTTCCCAATCCAGATTATGAGGTAATAAGGGATAGGGGAAGGGGAGGGGTTCTTTCTAGGGGAGAAAGGGACAGGTGGGACTGTCCATCTGGCCTGCCAGACACTTCAAAGCCCTTCACTCAGGGCTCCAGGAAAATCCACCATATGCCCGCCTCTGCCTCCTTCATGGTAAAACAGGACCATGTCAATGGCTTCCACAACCACGGAGTTGGGGGCGGGGGGGGCACGACACTTCTTTCTCTGCTTATTCATTAGCTGGGATACAGCCATGGGGAATACCATACATGCAAATTGTAACATGATAAACTCGGGACTGATGTTCCACCAGCATGCACCAATACAGTCATGCAAGTCGTTGAAATATTAAAATACTTCACTGGTAAATAGCGCCAAGCTTCCCCTGCCCACAACATGCACTGCCAGACATCACAGCCTCTCCCCCACTGGACTGTCTGGTGATTTGGCAACTAAAGAGTTAATGTCTGGCGTAGCAGAGAACCACCAGGACTGTTCTGATGGGTTGGTGTGTGTGCACTACCAAATTGTTAAATATTTTGACTGTCACAGTTGGACAAACTCAACAAATATTTATTAAGCACCAGCCAAGCATGTGGTATTCACCTTTCACATGAGTGACCTCATTTAATTCTGACAAAAGCCCTGAGTCTTTAGATTCCCATTTTTGAGATGGGAAAGCTGAGGCTCACAGAAGGAGGTGACTGGATCAAGTCTATTACCAGTCAGTGTCTGGTTAGAATTCGAGCCTGCCTCCTGACTCCTAGTCCAAGGTTCTTTCCATTGTACTAAAGCTAAGCCCTTCTTTCTTACGAACTACTTCCTCCCACTCTGCTGATCTCACCCTCTCTATTCCACTCCTAGCCCATCCGGAAAGGCCAGCGGGACCTGTATGCTGGCCTGAATCAGAGAGGCATCTGACAGCTCCTGAGGGCACTGCCTCCCACTGGCCCAGGTCTGGCTCCTCTCCAGGCGCCCTGCTACTCCCTGTTCCCTAGGCAAGTCCGGGACACCACAGGAGAATTATTCCTCTGCCCTGCAGCCTTGTCCCCAGCTTCCTCCTTCCTGCCTTCTCTGCTGGCACCCAGTCCTAGGATATTGCTGCCTCATTGTCCTTTGAAACATCATCATCACCACTCACTCCCTCACACCTGGCCTGCCCTCTTGTCAGGATATTTATTTCTGTTATTCACCACCACCACCCCAATTCCTTCCTTCTCCGGTGAACGTTACTTGTCCCTCAGTTCTCTCCTTTTCCAGTGTATAAATTGCCCCCATCCCTAACTCTTCCAACTACCTTTCTATTTTTCCATCTCTCTCTCTGGCGACCCTCTGTGGGAATAGACTGCGTAAATGTTGGCAGAGGTCCTGCCCCATTCACAGACCCTGGCCCAGAGCCAGCCCTTTGCTCCCTCCCTCGAGTCTCCAGTGTAGGCCCCTGGATGGTAATTTGCATCTCCATGAATACGCTAGGCTCCTTGTCAGCTGAGAGAAAAAAGAAATAAAGTGTATTTGGCTTAAAGAGTTGCTGTCCCTCTTTTCTGGGAGGCCCTGAGAGGCCGCCTTGTTCCTGAGACAATTCAGGCCTCCCTACCTTGACTAAATTGCCAGCTATGATCCTAAATGCAAGTACTACCTGTTTTCACAGCTGGTGGGGGTATCATCTGAAGCTCTCTTCAGAGAGGCCATCAGGAAGTAAATAAAATAGAAAGAAAGCGGGGGAGGGGAGGCGTTGGGGGGGCAGAGAGAGGGAGAAAGAAAGAGAGAGAGAGAGAAAGGAAGCACAATTAGTCATTTGACTAACTTCTCTTGGAGAAAAACATCAAGGGTGGCAGAGAATGACTGATGGGTCCTTGATGGAGTGGTCAGTTCAGAAAATGCGTAAAACAGAAACAGAGGCCTTAAAAGGCAGATGGAGACAGCAGACCAGAAGAGTGGAGGTATAAGGGGGCTGGGAGATGGGCCACAGGTTTCCACAAGCTGCCTCGGAAAGGGAGATCCGCTGAGCCGGGGCCGGGGGAAGTGGGGGAACGGGTGCAGTCAAGCAGGCACCACTCCCTCCACTCTGAGAGGCAGCAGCTTGCAGCCAGAAGCAGGCTGTGGTTTAGCAGTCAGGATGTGGGCTACGCTCTGAGCAAGGTGAGAGAGGCACAGCAGCAGCCAGAGGCCACTGTGGGAGGGCTTCCTTCTCACTCTCCCAGGGCACATGCTCCGCTTGCAGAGAGAGGAGGCCAGAGCGTGGAGAAACTGTCTTAGGCCAGCTCAAGCCAGCGGCCTCTCTTCTCTCCCTCTCTGCACTCAGAAACCTCCCTGCTGACCACAGAGCTATTTATGTGAGTGACCAAGACTAAAAAGGCCATTCGTGGTTAGCAGCCCTCCACATACTGTACACACTCAGCCTTGGGCTTATGGCTACAGTTTTTATTTGTTGATCCCTGTTGAAGCTGCTTCTTTCCCTCTAAGCACTCAACACGCACACTCACAAGGCCTCTCTGTGATGTTGACCATCACTAGCTGCTGATCCCCAGGCTGGCCCAGGGGTGGCAGTTTTGTCCCAGGTATATTTGACGGTGCCCGGTCGACGGAAGATGTGGCTCAGTGTGATAAAAGCAATAGCAGCTAACATTTAGTGAGCATTTACTATGCTCTAGAAATTGTGCTTGGCACTTTACATGCATTATCTCATTTAATCCTTACAACAACTCAACAAGGTAGAGGTTGTTCTCCTTTTTACAGATGAGGATACAGGGGATCAGAGAGGTTAAGTCATTTGCCCATGTTGCACAGTTAGTGAGGGACAGAGCTAGAATTAGCAGCCAGGACTGTCCAACTCTGTTGCCCTGAACCACTACCCAGTGCCGACTGTGATCATAAAGAATGCGCTCCCTTTTCCTGACTTAATTGTTATAGTATTCCTTCAGTGAGCACTGTTCTAAGCACTCATGTGTCAGCCCAGCACTGCACTAGGTTCTAAGGAGATACAAATAAACAGTTCCTGTCTTCAAGGAACTTGCAATTACATGAGTGGCCAAGTAAGTAAAAAGTTAAATAGCAACAGAAGAACAAATGAGATTAAGTATGGTGAGTGCTACAGTGTTACCACTGTTCCCAGGAGGAACTAAGAGAGCTGAAGTGGTCAGGGGACGCTCCACCGACGAGGAGAGACTTGATCTGGGCCTTGAAGAGGAGGATGGATATAATTTGAAGACAAAGGAGAAGGCACTCCACTCACTGAAGGTGAAATAGATAATCTAAACAGCCCTTTAGCTATTAAATAAATTGAATTTATAGTTAAAAACCTTTCCAAAAAGAAAACTCCAGACCAAGACGGTTTCATTGGTGAAATATACCAAACATTTGAGGAAAAAATAGTATCAATTCTATACAAACTCTTCCAGAAAATTAAAGGCAGATTACTTCCAACTCATTCTATGGAGACCAAACTTATCCCATGTAATGGTTAATTTTATGAGTCCACCTGGCTGAGCCACAGTACCCAGTTATTTGGTCAAACATCAGTCTAGATGTTTTTCTCAAGGTATTTTTTAGATGTTATTAACATTGGAATTGGTAGACTTTGAGTAAAGCAGATTAGTCTCCATAATGTGGGTGAGTCTCATCCAATCAGTTGAAGGCCTTAAGTAAAAACAGACTGAGGTCCTCTGTGGAAGAGAGAACTCTCTCTGTCTCTAGACTGCCTTTGGCAACATTGACTCTTCCCTGGGTCTCCAGCCTGCCAGCCCACCCTGCAGATTTTGGACTTGCCAGCCTTCACAATCGCATGAGCCAATTCCTTAAAATAAATCTCTCTCTTCTCTTTTCTCTTTCTCTATCTCTTGTATATGCATATACATCCTATTGGTTCTGCTTCTCTGGAGAACCCTGATTAATCAACCCTAATATTAAAACCAGGCAAAGATAAGAAAAGAAAACTGCAGACCAGTATACCTTATGAATAGATGCAAAAATTCTTCACAAAATTTTAGCAAATTTGATCTAATAATATATAAAAAGAATAATACATAGAGACCAAATACAGTTTATTTCAGAAATGCAGGATTGGTTTAACAGATCATGTCACCAAAGTAATTTACCCTATTAACAGACTAAAAAAGTAAAACCATACAATCATCTCAATGGATGCAGAAGAAATGCTTGACAATACTCAACAACTATTTTTGCTAAAAATTCTCAGCGAACTAGAAAGAGAAGGGAATGTCCTCAACCTGTTAAAGGGCATCTAAGAAAAACATACAACCAACATTATACTTAATGATGATAGACAATGCCTTTCCCCTAAGACCACAAACAAGGCAAGAATGTCCTCCCTCCAGTTCTGTTCAGCGTTGTACTAGAGATTCTAGCCAGTGCAACAAGCCAAGAAACAGAAGTAAAACACGTCCAGATTGGAAATGTAAAGCTTAAACTGTCTTTATTCAGAAACAACATGATCAACTATGTAAGACGTCTAACAGCATGTACAAAAAAAGCTACTAGAATTAATAAGTGAGTTTAGGAAGTTTTCAGAGTCCAAGATCAATATACCTAAAGCAACTGTATTTCTATGTGCTCTCAATGAACAACTGGAAATTGACATTTTAAAAATACCATATACAATAGCATCAAAAAATATAAAATATTTAGGGATAAATCTGACAAAAGACATATTCATGAATTGGAAGACTCAATATCATTAAGATATTCAAAAGTTGTAACCCAGCCATTTCACTCCTGAGTATTTATACAATAGAAACGAAAGCATATGTCCACACAATGACTTATATATGAATGTTCATAGCACTTTATTTGCAATAGCCAAAACCAGGAAACAACCCAAAAACCTACCAACAGGTGAATGGGTTTGTGGTATATCCATCCAATGGAATACTAATGAACAATAAAAAGGAATGAACTATTGATTGATGAAACAAGATGGATGAATCTCAAAATAATTATGCTGAGTGTAACAAGCCAGACCTAAAAGAGTGTATATTATATTATTTCATTTATATAAAACTCTAGAAAAATTAAAACTAACCTATAATGACAGAAAGCAGATATGTGGTTGCGGGGAGGGTAGGGGGATAAGGAGAGGAAGGAGGGAGGAATTACATGCAAAGGGGACAAGAAAACTGTTCAGGGTGTTGGATATGTTCATTATCTTTATTGTGGTGATGTTTCACATGTATACATATGCCAAAACTCATCAAATTTTACACTTTAAATATACGTGGTATATTTGTGTAGCTTTACATCAGTAAAGCTGTTTTTTCTACTCTTGTTTTTCCCCCTTTTCCTCCCCAAAGCCCCAGTAGATAGTTGTATGTCATAGTTGCACATCCTTCTAGTTGCTGTATGTGGGACGCGGCCTCAGCATGGCCGGACAAGTGGTGCGTTGGTGCGCGCCCAGATCTGAACCCCGGCCGTCAGTAGCGGAACGCGCACACTTAACCGCTAAGCCATGGGGCCGGCCCAGTAAAGCTGTTTTTTAAAAGCACAAAAAAAGGGAGCCAAAGGGCTCAGATGGAGGGCAGTGTTTCCCAACCTTGGCTTCACATTAGCATCCCTTAGGCAGTTTTAAAAGTCCCGATGCCCCAGCCCAATATGCTGTAATCAGATTCTGGGAGTGGCACCCAGGCATCAGTACTTTTAAAACTCCCCAGGAGATTCCAATGTGCAGCCAATGTTGAGAACTGGTGAGAGGTACAGGGGGATATAAGAGTGTATGAGGAATACCAGGTAAAAGGAAGTATGCATGATGTGGGAAGGATACAAGCCACGGGAAGGATTGGTGCAATACAAGCCACGGAAGGGTTGCCCAAGGTGGAGGGATCCAATGTGAAAGCAGGATCTAGGGTTAGGAGGACTGCAGTAGGAAGGATACAAAGAGTAGAAATAAAACATAACCACGAATGAAGCATGTGTAAATTGCAAGTTCATCCTGTCCCTAATAAAAGTAGAGTCTGTGTATATCTCAAGGAGATAATGGGCAGAATCATCCAGATCTGTGGTTATGTGGTTGTTAATCCTTTTCTCCTTTGGGAACCCTGGTCTAGGAAACTCCCACTCTCATTAAACTGTCCTGAAGTTCGTTAAATTACTCTTACTCAGAGAACAAACTCTCATCCCACCTATGGTAGATAGGAACGGGCACAAAGGACACAAAAGAGTAAGTGGCCTCAGTTCTTCCTCTGAACCAGAGACTCTCTGAATGGGGCTGCTTCAGAATCACCTGGGGACTACATGCCTAGAGTGGGGCCCAAGTGTCTATATTTTTAATAAATCTATCAGGCTCCCAAAGTTTTAGAACCATCACTAACCCACTAGCTGAAGATGACCTCTATTAAAAATATCCCAAGGGACCAGCCCCATGATCTAGTAGTTAAGTTTGACATGCTCCATTTCAATGGCCTGGGTTCAGTTCCCAGGCACGGACATACACCGCTCATTGGCAGCCATGCTGTGGCAGTGACCCACATACAAAATAGAGGAAGACAGGCACAGAGGTTAGCTCAGGGCAAATCTTCCTCAGCAAAAAAAAATGTATCCCAAGCCCCCACCCAGTCTCAAATTCCAGCTTTCCAAGAGAGTGGAGAGGGATAATGTGTTTTAATTGATGTAGGGTTTCTGATGCCAGTTTATCATGCAGAAGTTAGGGGTGGGGCTGAGAAGGTTCTGGGGAAAGGAAGATAAATGGTGCCTTCCATACAAGAGAAAAGAGTACTGAAGGGGCCTAGGCTGAGACGTCCTCACAGCTAGTGGCTACTGTTCCACAGGGGTCATAAAGCTAGGGCGAGCCCCCTAGCAGAAGGAGGACTTTGTCACCACACTCTCTGAGTCTTGATAAGAAGTAATCCCCAGGACACTTGATGTCTCTGCCACCTCTGCTTATGATGTCATGGAAACTTCCGTGTGGCTGGGTCTCTAAACACAGCAGCCCGCCCTCAGCTGTGATGAGGAAGCCAAAGCCCTGGAAGGACTGTGATAGGGGACAGAAAGCAATAAGTAGCTGAGGGAGTGTGGTGGGGCAGATCCTACACCCAAGGAGCCCCCCAGGCCAGAACCACCAGTGGGCCAGGATTTGGTGGGAGACTGCCCATCACACTGTCCATGTGGGGCAGAGGAAGGGAAGTGCTGAAGGAAGGATATGGGTGGGCAGGGAAGACAAGGGCCCAGCAATGTCAGGACAACTCCCATGCCTTGCCCAGGAGACTTGAAAAGTCCAGGTGCCTGCTGAGTGAAAGAGGACATCTTTATTGGCTGAGCAAGGAGAGAAGGTACAGGCAATAACTGATACTCCTATAAGCCACCAGTCTCAGGTTCACTTGTTCCGAGGCCAGTTTTCACCAAGACGACTGTACTGAGCATCATTCCGATCTCGAAGGGGCTAAGAGATGAGAAGGAGGAAGAGTGAGGCAGGGTCAGGACTCTTCCAGGGAGGACCCCAGCAGGCCCCTGAGATGAGCGCGCATGCCTGAACTTTCCAGACCCCCCAGTGATGAACTCCCCACTAGAACCCTTCATAAATATACATAACACCTAGTGTCAGCCTCTCCATCCCCACTCACTCCTCCTCCCATTCTTGTCTCTTTCCCCCTGGGACTCACCTGATAGAGCTGGTCATTCCTCAACAGAGCTTGAGCATTAGCAGCTAGAAGAACCAGGGAAAGAGAGTCATCAAGGGACTGTGAGGATGGGACAGTGAGATCCCATGAACACTGCAGGGGGACTGCAGCTGGTTGCACCCTCAGAAGTAAGCATGAGCAATATGGGCACTCAAGTTCTTTCAATAACCATTTGAAGGAGTCCTTAGGAGTGACTCCCAGATGAGACACAACTGACCACAAACCCCATTCTTTATCAGGTACACACTCACACCCATACCCATACCCACAACACACACACACACTGTGTCCCTTCCACTTACCCCTAGGGAGCCTTCCAGTCTCATGTCCAGCAAAGCAGTAGACTCCCAAAGCAAGGAGCAGAGTGGCAATGATGTCAGTGATAACAATGCCAGCCAGGGTTGCTGAGTCCAGCTCCACACAGTTCTGGCACACTGTCGGGGAAGGGAGGCGAGAAGAGAGATGGAGAGCCTTCAAGATCAGGAAACCATCTCTGCTCTCTAGGGCACCCCAGGATCTCACATGCCAAGACCCAAACTTCAATAAGATCAGGAAAAAGTCCTGCTGATGGCCTTGCTACATCCACCTCTACCCTTCACTCCAAGGAATGTCTGAGGAGAGCCAAGAAGTAGTCTCAGCTTTGTAGGAACTGATACAAGGCAGTAGGCCAAACCACTCTCCCAGCAAGGCCCCTATTGCTTGGGTCACAAGGCCCCTTCTCTGTTAGTTAAGCTCTCTCCCACTCTAAGGGTCGTACCACTACAAGAGTGACCCCAGTTTGTTTAGAGAACAGATTGGTCCACCACAGCACCCTCCAGCTAGAAAGTTCCATATCCAGAGGCCCCATCCATTTCAACTCAAAGAGTCCAGCAGGCACATACTTCGATAATATACTTGCACAATAGATCTTTTGGCTTTTTCATCTGCCTTGTCGCAAGAATACACTCCTCGTGGGTCTAGGATACGTTTTCCCAAGTTCAGACTTCCATTGTACCATGTTCCATTCGTTCCCTCTAGCAATGTGATGCCGGTATTGCAAGTCAAAACCACTCTATCCTCAATTTCCTCCACGGATATCTCGAAGGGGCTCACTAAGGAAAAAAAATACTACGATTGGAGCCAGCTCTTTGGTCTGCACCAGACCCCTTGTTCTGCTGAGGCTCATACTTAAGAAAGACCACTTTCCAAGTCCAGGACAGTTCATGGTTTCTAGTGAGAGAGATGGAAGTCACAAGAGAAAGGCTTTAGGAGGCTCCCAAGAACTGCAGGGCCCAGGAAGGACACAAGGATGCAGTCCAAGCAGAGGACAGGCCTTGATGGACACAGAGCAAACGAGGAAACCATGGAGCTGGGTTTATCCAAGAACCTTCCTGGAAATGAGTCCAGAGCACTGATTAAAAGTAGGAGGGGAGTGGGGCAGGCCCCGTGGTGCAGCAGTTAGGTGCGCGCGCTCCACTTCAACGGCCCGGAGTTCACAGGTTCGGATCCCAGGCGCACAGCGACGCACCGCCTGTTAAGCCATGCTGTGGCAGGGTCCCATATAAAGTAGAAAATGTTAGCCCAGGGCCAATCTTCCTCAGGAAAAAGAGGAGGATTGGCATCGGATGTCAGCTCAGGGCTAGTCCTCCTCACAAAAAAAAAAAAGTAGGAGAGGAGTATAGATGGCTGAAACACCCAAGAGATATGGAAAGGCAGAATAATTTTCCTCGGTTGGAGATGTCCACATTTTTTCTCCAAGAAAACTTCTAATTCTACTTCCCAGCCACCTACAGCACTCCCATTTCAACTTCTCATCCTCTTCCCTCCCGCTTTGCCCCTGTCCCAACAACTACCAAAAGAATGAGACTCTCACTACTAAAGCCTTTCCCAGGGCCAATGATGGTAGGGGAGAAACTGGTATCAATTACCAGCCCAGTGGTCCAGAAGGGGACCCAGGACAAATCCTATGTAAAAATTTTTAGTTGTTCTACCCTTTACTAGGGGGAGGGGAACAGAAAAAAAATTTTTATTGAATCCATTCTTGGGGATCCACACAAGTCAAGTCTTGTGGGGAGTTTAAGGGCTGGAGGTATGCACAGCGCCTTTCTAAATCCACTGAATTGCTTCAACCGAGAGCATCTCCACAGCCCACAGAGGCACTGAAGTCTATATCTCCAATCCCAGGGAAAAGTGGAACCTACCGTCTCCCTGAGCTTCATGCTCAGTTACCAATTTGCATACAAGAACATCCTCTAGAAAACCCCCAAAAGAGCTGTTTCTCATGCCTCTGAAGCAGGTCAAGAGTGCATGTGTGTATACTCAGGGAGACACACGCACATCAGATGTTACACATCCTACAGTACTGTCTTCCTTGGGGATCTGTTTCCAATGGAAATCCTGGATGTTACAAAGCAGCTGACCACTAGGGTAACCATTCATCCTAGTCTGCCTTGGATTGAGGGGGTTCCTGGGACAAGCCGTTTTAAAACCAGGCAGACCGAGATGAGTTGGTCATCCTGCTACCCACAATCTGCCCACCTCCTCCTCAACGTAAAGTTAACTTTTCTCTTAAAGCAGTCCCCTGAGTGCTGGGGCATGGCTCCAGGTGGTGACGTAATGATGGCCAAATGACTAAGAGTCCTGGATCTCAGGGGCTATCTGCCCTAGAAGGAACAGTGCTCCCAGCACCAGCGCTAGGCTCGGGCACACACATATAGCAATGTTTCATACCGACCTCTGGCCTAAGGCCTTCAGAGAGACATTCAAGGCCAACACACAAAGCAAAGAGCCTGTTTCCCAGACCCTCTGCTACACCCCAATTCTGCCCTTCTTGACAACTCTGCCTAGTGAACTGAAGCTAACACTGAGAAGGACTTTCAAGTGGACCTCACTCCAGGTGGTAAATTCTTTCTCAGGTCCCTCTCCAAGATACCCCCACCCACCTGGAGAAGCCTTACCTTGGGAGAGAAGGGCAGCCAGTATCAAGCCAGCCAGAAATCTGCAGTGTTTCATCTTCCAGGAGAATTCACCCATTAGACAGACTCAGGTCACAGAACTATCGGCCAGAGTGAGACCTTCCCTCCCCCAACTGACTCATGGGTACCGGGTACCGGAAAAAGTAAAGAATGCGGGAGGAACTAGAAGACGCCTCTTTCTCGGCCCTCTGCTGTTGATGATGGGAGACTGTCAGGGTAGGGGTAGGCTAGGGGTGGTGTAGGAAGTAAACAGGTGCTCTTTCTCTGAGCAGGAAGCTTGGGGGTAGGGTTGAAAGGAGAGCAGAGAATATGGAAAAGGTTGCCTGGACTTCTGGGAAGTAAAAGTAGGTTTAGGATGTCCTTTCCTGAGTCACTGATGAGAAACAAGAACTCCAGAGTTCCTGTCAACAATATAACTACATTACTCACCACCTAAAAACTGCCACCTCTCAAAATCCTGGAGAGAGGTTGTGAGCCCCATCCCATAAGCCATACCAGCTAGGTTCCTCCCATTCCTGGTCTTTCTTGGAACACTGCCCAAGGTCCTCCTTGGGCAGCCTGGGACACCAGACTAAGTGGGAGTTTGGGCTTTGGAGTCCCCTAGTCAGAGATTTGAATCCTGGCTCCAATGCTGCCTACCTGCTGGGCCCGGGCCAGTCATGGAATTTTTCAGAGCCTAATGCCCTCGGTATCATGACAAGGATTCAAACAAAATGTTTGCATGGTCCCTGACACATCATATGTGCTCAATAAGAGACAGTTATTAACAACAATATGATTGACTCACAGGTGGAATTGAGCCTTTCCAGGAGAGTAATGGACTTATTTCTCCTGTGATCTGTGAAGATCTGAAACTCTATACTGCCGCAGTTGGACAGAAATTTACCTGAGGGCAGAGATCATGTATGTCTTGCTCCCTTCTGTACCTCCAACACCTGGCTTGTGCCTGCCATGTAAAGAGAGCTCTGTACATTTTTGTTGATTCGCTGACTGACTGGGTGAGGGAGACAGGAGCCTGAGATCTTCGTAACTCAGCTCAGGCCCTGGTCCCTGGAAATGTATGACCTATCTTGTTGGAATTGTCCTACTTATTCCCTTCCAGGCAGGCACTGCTTTGATCTCATCTCAAAAAAGCAGTGAAAAATTCCTGGACGAGGGTCTGGACTGAGGGGTTTTTCTGTTCAGAGCTCCAGCCCTGAGTACACGAGTGTCCCCGCCTAAATTCATTAGTTCTGGCAACAAGCAACAACTGGCTGAGATCCTAGCAATAAGTGGCGGCAGAGATGTTTATCTCCTTCATGAAGAAAGGGGCCCAGGCCATCTCCTACCCAGCACCCAAGGTGTTTCTCTGCAAGCTGAGTCCCTGAGATGGGAATCCAGCACTCTTCCTCTCCCTCCCCACCACCTCTCACCCTCCACTCCTTAACAGAAAAACAAAACACATCTGCACCTGCAGCCCCGCGGAGGTCCCTGCAGCCCACACTTGAAGCAGAGGGTGGAGACTCTGGGTTCTTGCCTTCTCGCAAGGGCCCCAGCCCGAAGGATGCTGGGCGGAGCCAGGCTAACTGCTGCAAAGAGTGGCTGGCTGCTAGGAGCTGCTCAGTCTTCCTGCGGGGGAAGGACAGAGACTGACATGGCGCAGGTGAAGCGTCTGGCTGGCCTCATCCTGGCCATCACTCTTCTTCAAGGTAAGGGCCCATTAGGGGGTCTGGTAGCCTGGAGAAGGACTCAAAGGAAGAGGCCATCACCAGGAGGACAAGAATAGTGGGATCCCTAACCTTAAGCCTACCTCAGCTGTCACCCTAGAGTTCAGAGGAGGAAGGGCAAAAATGAAGGCTTTTACTGTTCTCCGCTAGAGAGAAGCAGTGTCCCATGTGAGAGATGGGTCCTTGTCTCCTAAGAAATCAAAATAGAGGACTTTACTGGCTGGAGAGAGGACCCAGATGCCGCCATCTTAGGTTTGAATGTAGCCCAAGGGGCACAGGCCAGGAACCTGAAAAGAAAAGGAATATGTTCCTTAACTCAGAGCTGGGGTTAGGGGTAGACCTATGAAGCATTCACTCATTCAGTTTGTCAATTGGTCAACTGGTCAACAAATATGGGTGAGATCCTATTAGGCAATAGGCTAGGAGGATATAAAGATGAATAAAACCTGCCCTAAGGAGTTCATAGTCTAATTGGAGAGATAAGTTTCAGTGTTGCCAGATTGAGTGTAAGGTGAAATATACGGTGCCTGTACAAATATTCAGTTGGAAATATACAATAGAAAGTGGGTAAACTGGGCTGATGCGTTGAGTCTGGACTAGAGATGATTCTCCACACATTGGGGGAAGCTAAAACCATGAAAGTTGTTAAATTCACACAACTACTATGTGATACATGAGGAGGAGGGGGCTGAGGATGGAACTGTGAGGATACCAACCTTTAAGGAGCAGTGGGAGAAAAAACATTTCAGGAAAGAGATAAGGGAATGGTGAAAGAGCTGGAATAATCAGATGAGTGCAATATCATGGAAACCAAGGGACTAGAGAGCTTCCAGAAGGAGATAATCACCAAGAATATGAAATATTAGGGCGATCCACTGATATAAGAATATAGTTAAAAGTTTAAGTCTGTGGAATTTGGCAAAATAAAGGTCATGGATGATTTAGAACAGTTTCAGTGAAGTAGTGTGAGTGGAAGCCAAATGGAAATGAGTAGAAGGTGAAGGGCAAGTGATAAAGAGCAGCAAGTGTAGACTATTCTTTAAAAAAGATTGGATGAGAAGGGAGGAGAGTCTGAGTGGTAAGTAGAGGGAGAAATAGGGTCTAAAAAGAAATTCTTTTGAGTATGAGAAAAATTTGAGCACATTTCTGGACTAAATGAGAACATAGTGAGTAGAGCAAGGTCCTGGAGTTGATATTGAAAGGATGGAGTCAAGAGTGGGGTCAAGGGCACAGAGGGGAAGGCAATTTTACCCTCTGAGACTAGAAGAAAGGAAGTGCGGATGTCACCTGCTGAAACTGAGCTGGGTGATGGTTGAGTTGGGGACTTGAAGAGGACAGTGAGAGTTTAGAATTATTTCTGAGGGGAATGGAGAAGAGCCAGCTAAAGACCACACCGCAGGGCAGTGCTGAAAGCCTGCGTGAGGCAGTTAGATATAGCAGAAAGAGCACGGGCTGAGCGGTAGACACCCGAGCTCTGGGTCCAGCTCAGCCACCATGAGCTGTTGAACTTGGATAATGCCCACTTCCTCTGGGCTCAGTTCCCTCAACAGTCAACCTAGGAAATTTGGCTACACAACCTCTCAAGTCCTAAAAGGAAATAGGACTCAGATAAGCAAAATTAAAAGATGTCAGCAATCAGTTGCACCCTCTCTCCTCTGGAATCTGAGTTAGAATGAGGGGCCTCTTTGTCCCTCCAATGGTGACAAGGTGGTCAGAGAGAAGAGCTGGTGAGAAATTTGCTTTACTGTTTTTCTTGCTTTTTTTTCTTATTCACTTATTTACTCATTCATGCATTCATTCAACAAATATAAGCTCCTACCATGTTCCAGGCACTGTGCTGGGTACTATTCATAAACAGTTCAGCCCTGCATGAAGTTCGAAGACAGCTGACTCCTTCCAACTCTTTCCATCATACTTTGATTCATGCCCCATCTCTCCCCAGCACACACTCTACCTCTAGCCACGCTATCTCTCTTGGCCTTTTCCAAGTCTGTATCTTTCTCTGTCTGGTGAATTCCTACTCCTTCTTCAAGGTCCAGCCAAATGTCATCTTCTCTGTTCAGTTTTCCCTGTCCCTCACACTTGGGAAAAAATCAAATAGCTTCTATTCCCTTTCATATGCATTCATATAAGTACTAAATGATAATTTATAAGTTTTATTACATTCGTTACATATGTGTTTATTTTTTACACTTCATTGTAAACTCTTCAAAGCAGCAACTAGTTCTTGTGTCACCACCCTTTTCTTTCACACTGCTTAATCATGTCAGGTACATAATAGCGCTCAGTAAAAGCTTGTATTAAACCCAATTGTATTGAATTCTGGTGCTAGTTCTATACAATATGTCTACCATACAACTCTACTACTCTGAGTTTTGAGACAGATTTGAGGGCTATTGACCAGCTAACTCCCCTGGGACATCCACAATTTCTACAAGAAATAGGTCATCAAGGCTGAAGATTTTAGAAGAACTCAGCTCTAAAAGGCTTTAGCTAGTGCACACCCACTCTTTGCCAGGGCTTTAGCTGCTCAAGGAGCAGAGCATTACAGACTGTACAGGTAATGTCCTTAAGTATACTGCAACACAATTCTGCTGCTAACCATCCAGAGTTAGCATCAGACCCCACCCGTTAAGGACACAGTCCCCAACAAGACTGTCCTCACTTTAAATGCCAGACACAAGTTCAGGGTCCCCAGACCACCCACACTTCTGATGAGCTGGACAAATCTGGAGGGTTCCCATGATTCCCCCTCAGGTTTGATAATTTCCTAGAACAACTCACAGAACTTAGGAAAGCACTACACTTACTATTACATTTTTATTATAAAAAATAAAATCAGGACTAGACAAGTGAAGAGACACTCATAGAAAGAGGTCTGGGAGAGTCTTGAGCACAGAGCTTCCATGTCCTCTGGAATCAGAACACATCACCCTCCCAGCACATTGATGTGTTCACCAACCAGAAAGCTCCACTGAGCTTTGGCATGATTGACTGAATCACTGGGCAGGTGACTGTGCTCAGTCTCCAGCCCCCCTCCCTTCTCAGTCCCAATTCTCAAAGTCCCAATTCTCAAATCATGTGGTTGGTCTTGACCAGCCCCATCCTGAGTCAATTCCCTAGCATAAACTCAGGTGTGATTCAAGGGCCCTCCGAGAATAACGAACACACTCCTATCACTCCTGAAATTCCAAAGGTTTAGAAACTCCCTCCAGGGAACCCAGGACAGAGACCAGACAAATTCTTTATTATACAACACCCTGAATTCAATTTGGTGATTTAGGCTACAATCCAGGGAGTAGGTATAAATACTGTCATTCCTGTGAATTAGAATCTTTCTCCATCTTGGCCTCAAAAGACCATGGAAATGATGCTTCAGGGCATCTGAATGACTCCATGCCCAGCTGATCCTCTGTCTCTCTTCTGTCTCTACAGGTACTATGGCCCAGTTGAAACAAGGTAGGGGAAATGGCTTCTTTCTATTCTCAAACTCTAAGAAAATCCGTGGAAGTATGTCTTCCTACAACAGTCGTCCTATAGGAGCGAGTGAACAGTTTAGAATGGTTAGGGATGATGATAGATAGTTAACCTCTCCATTGTCAACCAAATCAGGAGCCAGTCATGACCTCTCTGGGCAGCTTTGCTGTAGGTAAGCAATTAATTCTCTGGTTCTTGGAGGAGAAAAAGGACCCTAGCAGCTAGGCACTACTCAAAGTGCAACCCATGCACCAACAGCATTGGCATCACCTGGGAGCGTGTTAGAAATGCAGAATTTCAGCCCCTCCCAGAACTACCGAACAGAACCTGAAATTCTAAATAGATCCCCACGTGATTCATATGCACATTAACGTTTGAGAAGCACTGTTGTAATGGTCTTCTCCTGATACCCCGGGAGCAGGGAGAATTTCAGAGGCAAGATCCTTAACAGACTGTGGTTTTTCCCTTTTCAGAAAAACGTTTGATAAGTGTGGATGACAATCGAGAAGATGGTTCAGTACTTCTGATTTGTGACTCAAAAGATGCAAAAATCAAATGGTGGAAAGATGGGGAGGAAATGACAAATATAAGTGGAAAGACATGGAATCTGGGATATAGTATGAAGGATCCTCGAGGGATATACACATGTGGAGAATCAAAGCAAAACCAAACTCTCCAAGTGTATTATAGAAGTACGTAATCCTCTTTGGTTTGCTTGTTGTGAAATTAAGCGGTACTTGCTGTTCTGGTGAGCTTCCTATCCAGGATGGAAATAGACGCTAAACAGTGATATGAGAGCCAGTTCTCTTTCTTTTTTTTTTAAAGGTAGATCCTTTATTTTTATTTATTTATTTTTTGTGTGAGGAAGATCAGCCCTGACATAACATCCATGCCAATCCTCCTCTTTTTGCTGAGGAAGACTGGCCCTGGGCTAACATCTGTGCCTATCTTCTTCCACTTTATATGGGAAGACGCCACAGCATGGCCTGACAAGCAGTGCGTCGGTGCACACCCAGGATCCGGACCCAGGCGGGGATCCGAACCCGGGCCGCCAGCAGTAGAGCTCGCGCACTTAACCGCTACACCACGGAGCCGGCCCCAAGAGCCAGTTCTCTTAATCTCAGATTACCTCTCTGTGAATTTAATGAGACGGTTCCCCCAGCTTCTTGAAAAATTATAGCCAGTCCTGTAAAGCCTGGTTTACACTTGCGTGGGCCCCGTGGATTAGAGTAGTCAGCAATTTATATACACTAAATTGAGGTGGGTAGCAGAGACAGAGGAGATTACAAAGTGAGCAGCAGTAAAGTAGAAGGCAGTTGAGCATGGAGAAGGGGGTCTGATTTTCCTTCTATTTCACATAGCTCCTGGTAGTAAGACTACCTGGGGTTCCCCAGAACTCCTGGGGGCCAGTGGAACCTCTAGAAGCGTTGAGTTCTTAGTCCAAGGTCTTCCAAGGCAATTCCCTGCCACACCACCCACAGAGAGAGCCGCCTGCTGCCTTAGACAGAAGTATTATCGCTGGTAGGCAGGAGAAAAAGATCCATAAGGAACAACTTTCACACTCTAAAGGAGGCTTGTCCCTTCCTTTTCCCACAGTGTGTCAGAACTGCCTTGAGCTGAGTGCAGCCACTGTGTCGGGCTTTGTTTTTGCTGAAATCATTAGCATTTTCTTCCTTGCTGTTGGGGTCTACTTCATTGCTGGACAGGATGGAGTTCGCCAGTCAAGAGGTAAAACGATGTTCTTAGACGAGAGATGAGACCACCTGGGAGCCTCAGCTTCCTTCCTACCAAAATAGACCCAAAAGAAGAGACTGAGTTGGCCCGTGTTGCTAATGTTCATGGTTGGATGAGGCTCTGTCTCTGTAGGCAGGAAAAAAGGACACTTGGTGTTTTCACAGCATATTTACCTGTCTCAAAATCCAACTCCCTCTGATGTGTCCTCTGTGTTTCTAAAAAACTCTTCATGGAAGTAAAAGCTACATATAGAAAAGTGAATGAATCACAAGCATACAGCTCAAAAAAAATTTAACAAAGCAAACATAGCCATGAATCCAGCACCCAGTTTAAGAAAGAAAATATTACCTATACCTTAGAAGTCCCCCTTGTGGTCACTTCCAGCCTTTACCTATCCCCAAAAGTGAGCACTATCCTGATTTTTAACAACATTGATTAATCTTGCCTGTTTTTGTTCCTCATGTAAATAGACTCACACAGTAAGTACTCTTGTGTGTGGCTTCTTTTAGTCAACAATATGCTTATGAGATCTATCCATGTTGTCATACGTAGATGTTTTCCACTAATTCTTATTGCTATTTAGTTCTCCATTGCATGAATATAACCCAATTTATTATCCATTCTACCTTGTATATGTGTGTATTTTGTTTATTTTTTATGCAGCTTCAGACAAGCAGACTCTGTTGTCCGACGACCAGCTCTACCAGGTGAGGGAATGAGAAATGAAAGAGATATGGCTACCATCAGTGGTGGTAAAATGTTGGGAACTGGGGGGGCAAGTTATTTGGAAGATACAATATAGATACGGAACTGCTTAACTAGGGAATACTAGATGATGAGATAGTTATCCCTTTGGGTAGAATGGACAAAATAAAGAGAAAGGTTGAGAGAGGTTCAGGTCAGGATCTAGTGAGAAAAAGTTGAAGAACACACTGCGAGGGTTACACAAAGAAACTGTATCCAGAGCCTCCATCTCCTTGTCCTCTTTCTGCCCCCAAGACCACGAAGCACCCACTCCAAAGCCTTACACATAAAAAGCACTCAATAAATATGCATCAAATTAATTCATACATAGAGGATGGGGGAAAATGAGCTTATGACAGTGCTGTTCTTTTTAGCCTCTCAAGGATCGGGAAGATGACCATTACAGCCACCTTCAAGGAAACCAACTGAGGAAGCATTGAGCTCAAGACTCAGAGTAGGTGTGTCTCTCTACACGAATTCTAAGAAAGCACCTTTGTATTACCCGCCCTCCCAACTGCTGCCAAATCTATCTCCTTTCCTCCAGTAGCTATAAGGGTCAGACTGGGGGGTGGGGTTGCTTGGGGAGGCCGGTTTCTGAAAGCACTGGAGCCAGTGCTGATTTTCTTGGTGTAAGAAAATATGAAGGCTGTGTGCATCTGTAAATCCTCTCAGAACAGGGCCTCAAGTAATAGAGATGCTGAATGTTAATCATAATCTATATCAGGGTTTCTCAACATCCATACTATTCACATTTTGAGCCAGATAATTCTTTGTGGTGGGGGAACTGTCCTGCGTTGTAAGGTTTTTCCCTGGTCTCTATCCACCAGATGCCAGTAGTACCCCCCACTTTTGACAGCCAAAAATATCTCCAGATATTGCAAGTGTCCCCTCAGGGACAAAATTGCCCTTAATTAAGAACCACTGACCTATATTAACCTTTCAATCAACTAATCAATCAATCAGAAGTTTCAATCAGGGAAACAGAGCCCAAGCATTATTTGGTTTTCTGAGCCAATTGCAATTTTTGTTTTTTCAATCCAGGTGTTCTCCCTTCTATCCTGTTCTCAGAAACAGAGCAATACGTTTTGGAGTGCTCCTAGCAGAGAAACTTTCAGCCCTAAATCTAGACTCAAGGTTCCCGGAGGTGACAAATGGAGAAGAAAGGCCATCAGAGCAAATTTAGGCTTTTCTCAAAATAAAATAAAAGTAATGTGAAAACATGTATGGTGTTTCAGGAGCGCCACCTATTGGGAGGTAATATTTTTGTAAAAGAAAAATGAAAAGGTCAAATAACCCCTCTGTTTGAATATAATTTTTTCTTTTAATTTTTATTTAGTTTTTGTATAGGTCATAATTCACATAGTTCAAATATGCAGTGAAAGTTCTCCCTACACCTCCATCACCCAGTTGCCCTCTCCAGGGGCAAAAAATATACTAGTTTCTTAAATATCCTTATAAGATAATAAGGTATTATATATCAGAGGTATTCTAGGCACACATAAGCAAATTCTCAAGAACACATTGTTTTCTCTTCCCCTATTTTTCACACAAATGGTATCATACTATACATCTTTTACCTAATAAAACCTGAAGATTATTTCATACCAGTATATAAAGGGACTCATTTTTTCTTTTTTTAATGCAGCCACATTATACAGATACACTGTAATCTATTTAATAGTCCTCTATTGATGGACATTTAAGTTGGTTCCAATCTTTTGCTCTTACAATGCTTCAGTGACTCACATTGTATGTATAAATGTCATTTTTTAAAAGATTTGAAGTATAATTTACATGCTATAAAATTCACTCATTTTAAGTAATTTCACCTGTTCTCAGTAATATTTAGCAAATTTACCTAGTTGTACTACTATCACCATAATCCAGTTTTAGAACATTTCCATCACTGTCTTAAGATCCCTTGAACTGTTTGCAGTTACTCCCTGTTCCCACCCTGCACCCCAGGCAACCACTAATCTCATTTCTGCCTCTTTAGATTTGCCTTTTCTGGACATTTTATACAATGGAATCATACAATATCTGCTGTGGACATTCTCATGCAAATCTTTGTGTGGACATATGTTTTTCACTCCTTGGGGTTGATACCTAGGAGTGAAGAATTGCTGGGTTGTATGGTAAATTTATGTTTAACTTTTTAAGAAACTGCCAAACTTTTCCAAACTGGCTGTTCCATTTTACATTCCCATTAGCAGTAGATGAAGTTTCCGGTTTCTCCACATCCTTACCAATATTTGCTACTATCTTTTTTAGTATAGCCATTCTAGTGTATATAAAATAGTATCCTATTGTGGCTTTAATTTGTATATCCCTAATTACTAATGATGAACATCTCATGTGCTTATTAGCCATTCTTATATCTTTAGTGAAATGTCTATTCAAATCTTTTTTTTTTAATTGTGTTGTTTGTCTTCTTACTATTGACTTGTAAGAGTTCTTATGTATTTTGAATACAAGTCCTTTACCAAATATATGATTTGCAAATATATCTACTAGTCTCTGGTTTGTGTTTTCATTTTCTTAATGGTCTTTTGAAGTGCAAAAGTTTTTAATTTTGATGAAGTCCATTTTATCCATTTTTTTCTTTTATGGATTGTGCTTTTGGTGTCATGTCCAAGAAATCTTTGCCAAACCCAAGGTCACAAAGATTTCTCCTATATCTTCTTTTTATAGTTTTTATAGTTTTAGTTCTAACAATAAATGTCATTTTGAACGTTGTCTATTTGTAACAAATACAAATAAATGGAATTGTAGGGCCATAATGTATTTGCACTTATAATTTTATCCAAAATTGCCAAATTGCACTTCATAGAGGTTGGACCAATATATATTCCTAATAACCATAAACGAGAGTCCTGTTATTCCATACATATTCCAACAGCGTATTATTAAACTTTTTGAACTGTGCCAATCTAAGTTAAAAATGGCCTCTCAGTGTCATTTTAATTTACATTTTTCTTATTAAAAATGGAAGTGAGCCATTTGTTTTTCCTTCTAGTGAAATATAGGCTCACATCCTTTTATCTTCTTCTTATTGATTTGCAACAGCTTTTGTTTGTGATATCAATTGCAAATATTTTTCCAAAGTTGTTGTTTTTTTCACTTTACTTATATTTGGTTTTCTATGCACATTTTACAAATATTTGCATGTGGTAGAATCCACTGGTCTTTTATGGCTTCTAGGGTGTTTCATATTTAGAAAGGTCTTCCCCCATTTTAAGATTATTCCTTTTATTTATTTTTGTTTGTTTGTTTATTTTGTGTGTGTGTGTGTGAGGAAGATCAGCCCTGAGCTAACATCCATGGCAATCCTCCTCTTTTTGCTGAGGAAGACTGGCTCTGAGCTAACATCTATTGCCAATCCTCCTCCTTTTTCTCCCCAAAGCCCCAGTAGATAGCTGCATGTCATAGTTGCACATCCTTCTGGTTGCTGTATGTGGGATACGGCCTCAGCATGGCCTGACAAGCGGTGCGTCAGTGCGCGCCCGGGATCCGAAGCCGGGCCACCAGCAGCGGAGTGTGCACACTTAACCGCTACACCATGGGGCTGGCCCCAAGATTATTCCTTTTAAAACGTTCTCCCGTGAATTCCTCTAGCATTTTTATGGCTTCATTTTGTATATTTAAATCTTTGATCCATCTTGAATTAATTTTAGTGTAAAGCCCTAACATATTGACTAACTTTTAAGCCACAGAGCTACCCAGTTATTCCAGAACTATTTACTGAATGATCCATCTGTACCCATAGATTTTTTTTTTTAAGATTTTATTTTATTTATTTTCCCCCCCAAAGCCCCAGTAGATAGTTGTATGTCATAGCTGCACATCCTTCTAGTTGCTGTATGTGGGACTCGGCCTCAGGATGGACGGAGAAGTGGTGCCTCGGTGCACACCCGGGATCCGAACCCGGGCCACCAGCATCAGAGCGCGCGCACTTAACCACCAAGCCACGGGGCTGGCCCAAGTACCCATAGATTTTAAATGCTATGTTACCACTCCACTCTCACCAGATTGTAAGCTCCAGGAAGGAAAAGACTTGTATTTTTCTTCACTACTGTAGCTTCAGGAACTAGAACAATGCTGGAACATGATAGGCACTGTAAGGTTGAACAGCATTGTGTGAGTGTGAGTATATGTGTTAAAATATACATAACATAAAGTTTACTATTTTAACCATTTTTAAGTGTACTATTCAGTGGCATTAAGTACATTCACAATGTTGTGCAACAATCATCACTATCCGTTTCCAGAATTCTTTCATCATCCTTAATAAACTTTGTACCCATTAAATAATAACTCCCCATTCCTCCATCTTCCCAGCCCCTGGTAACTTCTATTTTACTTTCTGTCTCTGTGAATTTGCCTATTCTAGGTACTACGTATAAGTGGAATCATACAATATCTGTCCTTTTGTATCTGGCTTATTTCATTTACATAATGTTTTCAAGGTTCATCCATGTTGTAGCATGTATTAGAAATTCCTTCCTTTTTAAGGCTAAATAACAGCTGAGTGTATGTATATATCACATTTTGTTTACCCATTCATCTGTCTACAGACATTTTGGGTTGTTTCCACCTTTTGGCCATTATGAACAATGTTGCTATGAACACTGGTGTACAAGGATCTGTTTGAGTCCCTGCTTTCACTTCTTTTGGGTGTGTACCCAGAAGTGGAATTGCTGCATGATATGGTAATTCTATGTTTAACTTTTTGAGGAACCACCAAACTATTTTCCCAAAGTGCTGCATTATTTTACATTCCCATCAGAAATGCACAGGGCTTCCTACTTCTCCACATCCTCGCCAGTACTTATTCCGTTTTTTTGATAATAGCCTTCCTAATGGGTATGAGGTGGTATTTCACTGTGGTTTTGACTCACATTTCCCTAACGATGAGTGATGTTGAGCATCTTTTCATGTGTTTGTTGGCCATTGATATATCTTCTTTGGAGAAATGTCTATTCAAGTCCATCACCCATTTTTGAATCAAGTTGTTTGGTTTCTTGTTGTTGAGTTGTACAAGTTCTTTACATATTCTGGATACTAAGCCTTTATCAGATGTTATTTACAAATATTTTCTTTTCTTCTATGCATTGTCTTTTCACTTGCACTTTTGCAACACTACGCTGCTTTCATTGCCTTTGTGTACCTCAGAGTGAACTTGTAAGATGTATATTGTCTCCACAGATAAGAAAACTGAAACCCAATCAAAGCATATTTTAGCACACTTCCTGGCACCTAATAAGAGATCAAAACTTTCAGTCATTATTATTGCTGTTATTACTGCTGTTGCTGCTTCATACATAATAATCTATGAACAGTAACAGAAGCTGCTTCAAAAAGGCCTAAGATCGGTGGGAAAAATAGGAAGTAGAAGCCCACGAAATTTGCGAGTACTGCCAGGGATCACGAAGTAATATCTGCGATCCACACACCAATTTCCAAGACGCGCCTCTTATCTCACTGAGCTTCAAACTGCCCAGACCCGGGATTACTTGGACCGGCCCCAACTCGATCCCCACGCCACTTTCAGCCACTTCCGCCCTGACCCAACCAGTTTGCGCGTGCGCCATGGGGGTGTTTGCGCGCCAGTTCCCCGCGAGGGGCGACACACCCTGTTTCCGGCGCCCAGATGAGATCCCACAAGGCGGGGCACTTAGTGATGATGTAAGCTCCGGTTGCCGTGCTGAGTCGGAAGTGGGAACCCTTCGGCCCCTGAGACTGTCGTGTCGTCGCTGCTAGCCCTTCAGGCTCTGGTAAGAGAGAAAATAGCTTGAGGGGAGGGGATCGTTGAGTCTGCAATGGCATTTTTTTTCCCTAGTCGAATGCCAGTCCAGGCCTCTGCACTCTTACCTCCTCCAAATTCCTTCTGTGCATTCCTGGCCACTGACCCTCTCCTTCATGAACTTCGACCCTGTCTGATTTGGGAACCCCTTACAGTGCCCCAGCTTCTGGCATCTCTCCCCCTCTTTGCCATTCGCCTCCTGGAAAGGGTCAATACTGGCCGTGCATTATCTTTGACTTCCTCACTCTAGAACGTGCGCAGAGTGGGTGGGTCTCCCTTTTTGCCGCGAATCCCTTATGGGACCTGGAGGGATAAAATATAAAGAGTAAACGACAGATAGCCAGATGCCAAGGAAGACAGAATTAAGCACGAGTTGCAGTAATCAAACCAGTTGAATACATATGGCAAGGTGTTGACATTTCTTAAGGCAAGTGATCAGTTCACCACTCAGAACTCTTCCTGGCACTCTGCTTCATGCTCCCTCAGCAGTTGGGTTTAGAAGACACTTCTAAAATTGAGTACCCACAGTTCAGGAGCTTGTATTTGATGAGTCTTCTTTTTGGGATCACTTTTTCACTCCCAGAGCAAGGATGTGTTTGGTTTCACCACCATGGACTGTTTTGGTCTCATGTGAGAGCCAAGAAGGGGACCCAGGAAGGAATGCTGCCTGCTTTTTGACTTGATGAGATTCTTCTAGCTTGCTGATCTGTTGCCACATTAGAGGGGCCTGAAGGGATTATTGGATGGAACATCCAACAGTGTAAACATTTTTTTTTATTCCTCTTTTGGTTTGATTTATGTA